CTTAACAACAACAACAACAACAAAGTACAGGTACCTAGAGCAGATTGGTTCCTCCAACCTAATTGTTGAATAAAATAATCAAGTAAATAATATTGCAATCAAGGGAGGAAAGGGAAAGCAATTCAAATACAGGACTGGCAGGAGCAGGATTGTATTGCCCAATAAGGTAAGCACAAGCTTACTTGTGTTCACTAAGGTTTACTTGTGTTTGTGGAGTCCTGGTGTGGCACTGTGGGTTAATGCACCAAACTGCAAAGTCCTTTGAACTTCAAGGTCTGTGGTTCAAGCTCACCAGTCGCTCCTCAGAAACCCTATACAGGGTCAGTATGGATCTGAACCGACTCAACGGCACTTAACAATAACAACAACACTACTTGTTTATTAATCTGTAGTGAATAATTTCACATTTTTTCATGGAGGTCTTTTTCTTCCAACGCCACAGCACCGTCCTATAGAATCAAAGCCTCTTTTCAGAGACTCAATTTACAGTCCCTGATTGGGTCGGATTAACAAATAAGCAAGGTAAGCACAGGCTTACCTGTGCCTATTTACTAATCTGTAGTGAATAATGGAAAATTGTTTACTACAGATTAATATACGCCAGGCTACGTACATTAACACAAGTAATTCCGTGCTAACCTTGTTTATTGAGTAATCTGCACTAGTTGTTATTGTTGTTGGTACCGTAGAGTCGGTTTCGACTCATAGCGACCCCATGCACAACAGAAGGAAACACTGCCCAGTCCTACGCCATTCTCATAATCATTAATCTTAAAGCCATTGCTGCTTGCCACTACGCTAATCCGTCTCCTTGGGAGTCTTCCTCTTTTTCGCTGATCCTCCACTTTAGAGGAAGGAGCTCTGGTAGCGTAGTGGTTACGAATCGGGGTGCTAACCTCAAGGTCAGCAGTTCGAAACTACTAGCTGTTCCACGGGTGAAAGAGGAGGCTTTCTGCTCCCGTAAAGATTTACAGCCTCGGAAACCCTGTGCAGGGTCACTATGAGTCGGAACCGACTCCACGGTACAAGTCTCGCCATCCTAACTTCTAAGGAGCATTCTGGTTGTCTAACAGAAATTTGTTTGTTCTTCTCCAACACCGATAACTCAAATGCATCAGTTCTTCTACGATATTATTTATTGTCCAATTGAAAATATCATGACTTGGGTGGACACAGGTCCTCAAACTGACATCTTTGCTGTTGAAGTCACCTAGGTATGAGCAAAAAAAAAAGTAATTGAGTCATTGCGGCTAGCTTTGGGCTAAATTCAATTCCTGGCCGCTCTGAGCCTCAGTTTCCTCACGCGGATAGAGCAGATAGTGTTTTTTTCCCCCACCCCCTTTCCTCTCCTTTTCTCCACAGCTTCACGACACTTGGAAAAGGCTGTCAAAGCACAACTCGATTGCAAAGGGCTACTGTGAAGCTTTTTCCGACTGAGCTAAGTTAGTCTCCCGGCGCTGGCCACGAACTCTTGCGCACCCTGGCGGTCCGGCAACTCATGGCGGACGCCGCCAGACCACGTGTGAAGTCGCTGTCGCCATGTTTTATTCGGGCAACAGCCATCTTCATAAAGGCATGGGTGTAGTTCCAACTTGCCCCTCCTAGCTCGTCAATATCTGAAGTGAACTCCAAAGCTAATAGTTTATAAAATAACAGCTTGTTAAAAGGAAAAGACAGAATAAATAGAAGGGTAAATAAGATGGCTATAGTTTGGACTGAAGGCTACGGCAGCTTTTCCTTTACTAAGATGGCATTGGCGTCGTAGCGTCATCTGAGCGCTCCGTGAGCTGCTGGGAGGTTGGCGCGCTAGTCCCGTGGTGACGTAACAGAGACGCGACCGGGCCGGCGCTGAGAGAAGGAGGTAGGAGCGATCGCAGCGCAGGCGGAGCCGGGGCTCTGGGGGCGGGAAGGCGGGCCCGCGGTGGCCGCTTTCCTGGGAATCCCCTTCCTCGGGGGTCTGAAAGTGGGGTACTCGGAGACGGGGGTATTTCCGGCGTTCAGTTTCGGCATCCCCAGTGGGACAGCGTGGTGCTCGAGCCCGCCTGGCTCCGGCGCATTCCTGGAGCTGCACCTAGTCTGGGGGCACGTTGAGGGTGGGGATGACCGAGCTGAGCAGGAACGCCCCCAGCCTCTTGCTTGCGATTAGGGCTGGAGAGGAGGAGCTGGGGGAGTCCAGCCGCGGCGGCCGGGAGAGGTTGAAAGAAGCAGCATTGAGTTTCATCCTTTGTTCTCTCTCTTTCTCACCTTCGTATCCAGCCAGTCACCTGGCTGGACTGGTCATGATTTTCCCCTGAAATGTCCTTGGCCCAGCTTGGACCACCCCTGACTTCCTCTACTCCGCCCCTCTCTGACCTCCCCAACTCGACTGGCATCCGTACCACTGGAATTCACTCGTTTTCCCAGTCGGTCTTTTCTCAGATGGCTCTTCCAAGAAGCCCTTAATTCCCCAAGCTGGTTCAGAACCACCTCCCATCACTTGTAACTCTTCTTCTCATACCTGTCTAGCTCCCCACCCACCCAGGAGTCTTCAGGCAGCTGGAAGTCCATCTCAACCATCTCTTTCCCCAACTGCCTACACGAGTAAATGTTTGTTGAATGACAGAGAACGTGCAGTGTTTGTGTGTGTGTATGCCATACAGATAAAGGAAGGGTAAGGTGTCCCAGCATGAAGGTGGGGATCAGACGCCTTTCATCTCAGCCTTAGAGATGGAGCTGAGGGACGTGGCCAGTAGGGCAGTGTCCTCAGAGTGGGTTTTCACAGTTGTTATGTGCTGTGGAGTCGGTTGCAACTCATAGCGACCCTGTACAGGGTTTCCGAGGCTGTAAATCTTTACGGGAGCAGACCACCTCATCTTTCTCCTGCGGAACAGCTGGTAGTTTCGAACTGCTGACCGTGAGATTAGCAGCCCGATTCATAACCACTACACTACCAGAGCTCCTGTTTTCACAGTTGTTGTGTGACGTGGAGTCAGTTCTGAGTCATAGCGACCCTGTACAGGGTTTCCAAGGCTGTAAATCTTTACGGGAGCAGACCACCTCATCTTTCTCCCGGGGAACAGCTGGTAATTTCGAACTGCTGACCTTGAGGCTCGCAGCCCGTTTCATAACCACTATGCTACCAGAGCTCCTTTGTTTTCACAGTAGAAGGGGACAAAGTAGGTGTGTCAGATGAGAGCACCGCAAAAAAGGCTCCAGGCTGGAGAAAGGGGGATCCCTGCTGAGTTTGGATACAACACAGGGTGTGTGAAATATTAAATATCCAGGAAATGCTGGAAACAGACGCTTCTTCATTGCTCTGCAGGAGCCAAGGACACAGCTATGACAAGGCAGTCCTGGCCCTACCATCGTGGAGCTCACGGCTTTGGTGGGGAAGACAGACATTTGCTAAATAATTGTATAAATGAACACTAAAGTGCAAATGCAAAATGCCTCTAAGAGAAGTCTGGGCTGGGAGAGAGTTGCGGTGGGGATGTCTCAGAAGGCTTCCTGGAGGTGGCAACACCTGAGCTGGGCCCTGTTGCTTAAATTAGAGCTAACTAGATTAGTTCCTAGTCCTGGTGTGGCCTGTAGAATGAACAGTGGACCTCAAGGTTGGCAGTTCAAACTCAGCAGCCACGCCTCTGAAACCCTATACAGGGTTGATATGAGTAGAACAGGGTTGATATGAGTAGAACTGACTTGATGGCACTTAACAACAAGATTAAAATAATCCGATAAACCAGTTGCTCTTAAGTTGATTTCCATCTCATGACAACCCCATGTATGTCAAAGTTGAATTGCTCTATGGGTTTTTCAAGTCTGTGACATTTAAACAGCAGATCACCAGCCACCATTCTTCCCAAGTATCTCTGGGTGGGTTCAAACTGCCAACCCAGGGATTCCTAACTGGTAAAAAGTAGAAGCAGAAAGGTTCATAAGTGATTTAGCTGAAACTGCTCAGGGCAGAGGAGGCTGCCTATTTCTAGGATGAGGAAAGCTAAGGCCCAGAGAATTGGAAACACTTATCGTGGACCACTGAACATTCCAGAGGGAATGCTTTTCATTTCTTGGCTGCACACCTCTCCCCTCTTCCCTGAGGAGTTAGACCCCAGCTTCCCCTGCTGTGCCACATGGCCGGGCCAGGTGCCTCCGTTTCTCTACCTTGAAGTGGGAGTAATGACAGTCCCTTTTTTAAAGTCTCTGCAAGAGACTCGGTTTGGTTGAAGTGCTTGGTAGAGGGTCAGCTGCAGAGGGGCTTGATGTCTGTCTCATCCTTTCAGGTCAGCAAACCTGGGCCAGGCCAGGTGCCCAGTGGATAGTGGGTTTCCATTCATTGTCAGAACCTCTCCCAGCATGGTGGGCCAGGGCCAGCAGTCAGAAGCAGCTCATGTCTGTGGGACCTGGGGACAGAGGCCTTACGGGTGGGAGTGGAAGGAGCCTGAGAATTAAGCCACACAGATTCAGACACAAACATCTAGAATAACACTTCTTTACAACAACCAAAAGGTAGAAACAACCCAGGTATCTACCGCAGATGAGTAAATAAATACAGCGTGCTCCAGCCACACACTGGAATATTACTTGGCTTTTAAAAGGAGTGAAGCACCGTACACCCTACAGTGTGGATGAATCTTGAGAACATGATGTTCAGTGGGAGAAGCTAGGCACAAAGGACCACAGAGTGTACAATTCCGTCTATAGAAAAGGTCCTTAAGAGGCAAATTCATAGAGGCAGGAAATAGAATTGTGGTTGCCAGGGGCTGGGAGATGGGGAGTGCTAATGGAATGGGAGGATGAGAATGTTCTGGAAGTTCTGTATGGTGATGGTTCTGCCTGTTGGTAACAGTACAAGAAGTCATTGTGCATGTGGAAGAGTGAATTTGTTATGACGTATAAAATATTTCTCAAGCAGTTGAAGGAGGGAGATGGTGTCTGGCTACTACTACCAACTGTTCTGACCAGGGGCACAATTGATGGTCTTGGATAGAATTGGAGAAAAATGTAGAACAAACCTCTAATTCTTAAAAAAGGCTAAATTATGAATGGGTATAAACTAGGGGAACTCCTGAAAACGATCGCCCTCAGATTCTCATGAACATTACCTTTCAACTAGATAGCAGATTGGCTTATAAAATAAACAGTCCTCACCAGTGAATACTGTGCTATTAAAAAAAAAAAAAAATCATCTGTATGAGACCAGACAAGAAGCCCTGGTGGCACTATGGATCAAGCATTTGGCTGTTAATCCCAAGGTTGGTGGTTCAAACCCACTGGTTGCTCCAAAGGAAAACGATGAGGCTATCTGCTCCTGTAAAGACTGAAGTCTTATGTCTACAGTCTTGTAAACCTGATGGAGCAGTTTTCCTCTGTCTGTATTGTCTTTATGAATTGCTCTCAACTTCATGGTAGTAGGGTTTTTAGTTATAAGACCAAATATGAGAAGGGGGCGGGGGGCAACCGAGAAGCTAGATTATAGACACAGAACAACCGCAATAGCTCACAAGCACAGAGGTGAACCAGAGGGTCCTGGGAGCAGGTGTCCTACCCCCAGCCCCTGCTTACCCACACTCCCTCCCCCCTCCCCCCAGCCTGCCAAGGGATGCCCAAAAAGTTCCAGGGCGAGAACACCAAGGCGGCAGCAGCCCGGGCACGGAAGGCGGAGGCCAAGGCAGCGGCCGATGCCAGGAAGCAGAAGGAGCTGGAAGATGCCTACTGGAAGGATGAGGACAAACACGTCATGAGGAAGGAGCAGCGCAAGGTGGGTGGCACATACCCAGGGCCTGGCTGGCAGAGGGCGAGAGGATACTAGATATGTGGCAGGCATGGAAGGGGGTCCCAGGTAGAGGAGACAACATGTGCAGAGGTTCTGAGGTGGTGGTGGAGCCCCTTTTGGGATACAGCACCCCTCTGTGGGCTCCTTGCTCTTTGTATCGTTGGGGTCAGGCTAAGCAGAGAACCTGGATCATGTCTGGAGACCTTTGTCGTCACAACTGGTAGAGGGGGTGCTCCTGGCATCAAGTGGGTGGAGAGCAGGGACAAGTAGGTTAGGGACCTACAGTGTACAGATCAGCCCCACCACAGCAAAAAGTGTTTAGACCCAAAGGTCAGTGCTAACCTGGACTCACAGGCTCCTCCAACTGGTCCGAAGCACACGGGAACTCCAAGGGGACAGGCCCAACTCTCTGGTCCCTGAAGAGCCCGGTGCCCAACACACAGTTGCTGTCCATTGACCCCAACGCAAAGTGATGCCAAGATGTCCGAGGAGAACTGTGCTCTGGCCTACCTTCCCAGTGTCTCTGTGGGGACTCAAACCACCAACCTTCTGATTAGCAGCTGACTCTGTTAGCCGTTGGCACCATCCAGGAAGTCCTGTCAACACCTCACACCACAACCAAACCCGCTGCCATTGCGCTGGTTTACTCAGGTGCCTCTGTCACAGAAGAGGGCTGAGCTCCAGTTGGTTTTCTTGATCACCAGGTGGAGAAAGCGGCTGCTAGCCTACGAGATTGGTGCTAGATGATAGATTATAAGTTGGTGGTTTTGTAGAGATAGAGATACGATGGGAGTCTGGGGTGGCGCTGTGGGCTAATGCATCAGACTGCAAAGTTTGAACTGCAAGGTTAGTGGTTCAAGCTCACCAGCTGTTCCTTGGAAACCCTATACAGGGTTGCTCTGGGTCAGAATTGACTCAACAGCACTCAGCACCAGTAACAACATAGATAAGATGCTTCTGGGTGGACTCAGATGTCCACGGTTTCAGTGAGTTCACTGTTGATACCACTCAGGGGTCCTGGCAAGCAGACTAAACCAACTGTAGGACACAGTAGACCTGCCCCATAGGGTTCCCAGAGCTGTGATCTTTCTCCCATGGAACAGCCTGGTAGGTTTGAACTGCTGACCTTTCTGTTAGCAGCTGAGCACTTTAACCACTGTGCCACTAGGCCTCCTTGCCAGGCATACACACCAAAAAAACAAATGCGTTTCCATCAAGTCAGATTTGACTCACACACAGTATGTACCTAATTGGTGTCTGGAGAGTGACTGGGCCTGATGCTGCCCTGCCCTTCCCTACCCTACCCTACCCTATCCTACCTACCCTGCCCTACCCTGCTTTACCCTGCCTTCCTCTACCCTGCCCTGCCCTGGCCTACCCTGACCTGCCCAGTAGATGGCATCAGCTACCTGTCTTTAATGCAGGCCACAGCTCTGAGTTCCTCTGGGCTGTCCAGACGCCCTTGCCCGTGAGCCCAAAGACCCCTTCAGACTAAGGACAGAGACCCCAGCTGGTTTTTTCCACTTGAAATCTGCTGAAAGCTGAGGAACCAGGTTGTGGTGCTGTCATCCCTGCAGAGCCCTAGAAGTCTCTCCTGAAGGCTCCTGATACCTATCCCACCCCCACACTCCCCACTCCCAGGTCAGGCTCTTAGATAGCATAAACTTATTTTTTGAGTATAAAATTTTTGACATGATTTTTTAAACTCAAAACTATTGTCCTCAAGTCAATTCTGACACATGGCCACCGACCGTCTCAGAGAACTGAGCTCCTTGGGTTTGTTAACATTTTTTCCCTGGTCCCTCTCGCTCTTGCGGGGTCTAAAGAATTTGTCCCACCAAGTCGCCACTTCTCAGTCACACATGAACAATAAACATTCAATTAGAATCTCTTTATTGCAAAACAGAAGTGCGCCTCCGAGAGAGAAGACCTTTTGGGGTTGGGGTGCACTGACTTATAAAGGTATGGGGTCCCTTTCTTGAGGGATGAGCTAATACATATTAATAAGGAGGAGTGGTAGGATGAATATTTATGGATTTTTTTTATAGAGGGACACAGGCTTCTTGAAAATGCGGAACCTTCTGCAGTTGTCAGCTCTAGGTGCTATCTTCGTGGGTCGTCTGCCTGCGACCAGCTACTTCTATCAGGGTTTCAGGTTCTGATCTCCCTATCTCTGTCGCCAGGCTATGGCTATACTTCGCAGTGTTAGCCTTCTTGTTGAACTAGAGATGTCCTCCCCATCTCTGGAGAAGCCAGGGCCCCAGGAGTCCTGACAGGTTTTCTTAGCTGGGTTCACTATGGAAGCTGATTGTCAGGCCTTTCTTCTCCAACTTTCAGTTATTTCTTGTTAGGTGCCATCAAATTGGTTTCCACTCGCAGCGACCCTCTGCACTGTAACAGTACAAAACACTGTACCATCCTCACTCACAGTTGTTGTCAGGTTTTAGTCCATTAGCTGCCACTGTGTCCGTTCATCTTGTTGGGGGTCTTTCTCTTTTTCATTTACCCTTCACTTTACCAAGCTTGATGTCCTTCTCCAGGGACTGATCCCTCTTGACAACACGTCCAAAGAACCAGACACGAAGTCTCAAGATCCTCACTTTTTTTTTTTTTTTAACTTTTTACTGTGAATTGAGTGGCGGCTTACAGAGCAGATCATCAATTTTACATTCAACAGGTCATATACTTTGCTTCATTACATGATGGTGGTGGTGGTGGTAGTAATGTACCGTGGAGTCAATTCCAACTCATAGCGTCCCTGCACAGGGTTTCCAAGGCTGTAAATCTTTACAGGAGCAGACAGCCTCATCATTCTCCCGTGGAGCCACTGGTAGTTTCAAACTGCTGACTTTAAGATTAGCGGATTGGTAACCACTATGCCATCAGAGCTCTTTTACATGATTGTAATCCCCTCAATTTACCTACAATTAACAGCATTTACCTCTGTTCACTTAACTACTAAACTGTTGCATTCCTCTTTGTGTCTCCTGCTACCTTCATTTTTCCTCTGCTAACCTCTTGTATATTGCTTGCCCTATCACCTATGTTAACCTGTGTCTACCCTCTGTTGTTGTTGTTAAGTGCCATCAAGTTGAGTCCGACCCATAGCAACCCAGCTTCCGAGGAGTAGCTGGTGAGCTTGACCCGCCGACCTTGCGCAAGTTCAAACGGCTTTGCAGTCTGGCGCATTAACCCACAACACCACACATACCAGGTCTCCGGTCTACACTCTAGCCCATGAATAATTTTCCCTTACTCTCCTGCCTGTCCCCATAGCCATCATAGATTGTTTCTTTAATCAAGAAAATCTTTTTTAAACTTTTCATAACAGTGGTCTCATATGATGTTTGTCCTTTTGTGATTGACTAATTTAACTCAGCGTAGTGTCCTCCAGGTTCATCCATGTAGTGAGGTGTTCACAGATTCATTGTTATTCTTTTTATAGTATTCCATTGTGTATATTTGCCAAAGTTTATTTAACCATTCTTTTGTTGATGGGCATTTAGGCTGTCACCATCTTTTTGATATGTCTCTTGATTGGTGCCTTTAATCCATATGCATTCAGTGTAATTATCAATAGGTATGCTGCCACTGTGAAAATCCATCTTGTTGGGGGCGGTGGGCATCTTCCTTTTTCGCTGACCCTCTGATTTACCAAGAATTATGCCCTTCTCCAGGGACTGGTCCCTCCTGATAATACGTCCGAAGTATGAGAGACGAAGTTTGGTCATCCAAACTTCTAAGGAACATTCTGACTATGCTTTTTCCAACACAGATTTGTTTTTCTGACAGTCCATGGTACTTTTAAATATTCTCCTCCAACACAATAACTCAAATGCATCAGTTCTTCTACGGTCTTCCTTATTCATGGTCTAACTTTCACATGTATATGAGGTTATTGAAATCACCATGGCTTGGTTCACGCGAACCTTATTCCTCAAACTGACGTCTTTGCTCTTCAGCACTTTAAAGTGGTCTTGTGCAGCAGCTTTACCTAATGCAATACATCATTTGATTTCTTGACTTCTATTTCCATGCGTGTTGATGGTTGATCTGAGCAAAGTGAAGTCTTTGACAACTTCCATCTTTTCCCCATTTATCTGGATGTTATATGTCAGTCTAGTGGTGATTTTAAGTCCTCTTCACTTTCAGCAAGCAAGATTGTATCATTTGCATATTGCAGATTGTTAATGAGTCTTCCTCCAATTCTGATGCCACATTCTTCTTCATATAGTCCAGTTTCTCAGATTATTATGCCCAGCATACAGAAGGAATAAATATGGTGGAAAAATACAACCCTGGCACACACCTTTCCTGATTTTAAATCATTCTTGGCCCCTTGTTCTGTTTGAACAACTGCCTCTTAGTCAATGTATAGGTTCCTCATGAGCACAATTAAGTGTTCCGGACCACTCATTCTCCACAGTGTTGTTCATAGCTTGTTCTGACCCACATAATTGGAAACCTTTTCATAGTCAGTAAAGCACAGGTAAACATCTTTCTGGTATTCTCTGCTTTCAGCCAAGATCCATCTGATGTCTGCAACGATATCCCTTGTTCCACGTCCTAGTCTGAATCCGGCTTGAACTCTTTGAGTACCCTGTAATTTATTCATTTGTTTCCTGCTTAAACAAGTCTATTTTATCTTGAATCTACTTGACTTCCTTGCCATTTGTAAGTTCTATGTCTACACTATACCCTCTTTTTGCTTTGTAGTTGACATCATTATACATTGATAGCACCGGTTCCCTATTTTCAGTCTTGTAGGTTGGAGTCATGGTGTGGCACTGTGAAATAAAGCACTGGTCCACAAAGTCAGTTTGAACTGCAGGGTCAGCAATTCATACTCACCAGTCACTCCACAGAAACCCGGTACCGGATTGCTATGAATCAGGAGGTGGTTGTGGAAGGGCTGTGACAGCAGAGTTCCTGGCCTTAGAGGGAGGTGTGATTGGCTTCGGTGTTACCTAGGTTCAGGGCACTCA